AGATAGATAGATAGATAGAGAGAGAGAGAGAGAGAGAGAGAGAGAGAGAGAGAGAGAGAGAGAGAGAGAGAGAGAGAGAGAGAGAGAGAGAGAGAGGGTGTTATGGTTTCGCTCTGCAGCGTCCTGTTCATGCTGTGCGCATCATACATTGAGGGCATACTCACAGTAGGACTTTTTTTTTTCTATAAGCTCTGGACGTGATTGCGGTCAGATTCATTGAGGTCTGACCGTAATTGCAGTCAGATACATTTAGGAGAGGGCTAGTGTGAGTATGCCCTCAGATCGGCAGTTTTGCTGGGGAGCGGTAGTAAAAAGAACTCAATTTTCGTAAGAAAAATAGGGGAAAAAAACGGAAATAACATAAATTACAACCAAAATAAAAAAATAAAAAACATAATATAATATAACATAACATAACATAACATAACATAACATAGAATGAAACATTAAATATCGTAAGAGAGAAAGGAAAAAAAAGGAAAATAAATAACAAAAAAACTGAAATCATTACATAAAATAAAATGAAACATTATTATACATTTATGTATCTGTCAAAGAACTCATTCTGGTTATTGCCCACCTGCCTCCTGAAAAAAGAGTTCAAGAAAAAAAGAAGAAAAGAAATAAAGAAAAAAGAATTAAAGAATTCAAGTAAAAAAAAAGAAGGAAAAAAAGAGAAAAAAGAAGAAAAAAAGAAAAAAGAAAGAAAAGCAGAGTTCTTCTACCCCGCCGTGTGTGAAAAACACACGATTTTTTTTTTTTTTTTTTTTTAGGAGGGTTAAGAAAGAAAGAAAAAAAGAGCCTGCCTGCTCAAGCGCGAGCAAGAATAGAATCGAATAAAAAAGAAATAAAAATTGAAGTAATAAAAAAAAAAGAAGAAGAAAGAAAAAGAAATAAAACAAAGAAAAAAAGGAAAAAAAGAATAAAGTAGCGAAAAAATGAAGTAAAAAAAAAATAAAAAAAAATGAAAAAAGGAAAAAAAAGGAAAACAAGAAAGAAAAAAAGAATGAAGTAGCGAGGCCAATCTCTGTGAGTCCGCGCTTACAAAAACAAGTGCAACAAAGAATCTGTATGGACATAGGGCCTGACTCCACTGCACAACATTCTGAATGTATCTGGACAGGAAACTGGTCACGAAACATTGAAAATGTTGAATCAGTCCAAATGCATCTGGTCCACCTTCTGTCCAGATACGTGTAGAACGTTGTGTAGTGGAGCGAGGCCCGTAGTCATTGCTCACAAACGCGCACTTCAAACAAATAGAACGGGGTACTGAGAAAAAAAAAAGAGAGAAATAGATTGGAGCTGATTACCCCCCCCCAAAAAAAAAGAAAAAAAAAAAAGGAAAAGAAAAGAAAGAATGGGGTACTGAGAAGGCAATGACTGACTGTAGGCAAGATGCAGAGCTTACGACCGGTCGTAAGCTGCATTACAGCGACCGGTCGTAAGCTGCATTACAGCGTACGACCGGTCGTAAGCTGCATCACAGCATACAATCGATCGTAAGCTGCAGCACAGCGTACGACCGGTCGTACGCCGCATCTTACCCTCAGTCTTTTGGGCTCGAAGCCTATGATCTTCAATTTTTTTTTTTGGGGTGGGTGGGGGGGAGGGCAGTATCTCCAATCTCTCATGCGTCTACTTGCGCGTTCTCCTCTAAACAAAACAAAACAAAAAAAAAAAAAAAAGAAGGGCAGGGGGG